TCAATATTTCAATGATACACTCCCAGGCAATGATCACAAACGCTGCGCGGAACATTATACACTTCCACCACCGTAACAACATCACCAAAAGCATTCATTCACACAATGCAGTTGCAACAAACAGGTGCCCCCATCCAAAGAGCCGCTCTTTTGAAAATCACCGTGGTGGCAATACACTGACACCAGATAACATGTCCATCGTTACAAAATGACACATGCACACATTGGAAAAGATGCACTGCGCCGCGCTGAAGCAAAAACTTCCACCAAAAAATATATTGGGCCTGGTGTGTGCGCCTGGGTCGCTGCTCCGAAATCCAGAAATACAACCCTGGCACTAGCAAAATACATTCCTGCCCAAAAGCTTTTGCCATAATACATCTTGCACCCAAAAATACAACCCTGACCCCAAAAATACATTAAAATGTATAATGTACATCCCGGGCCCAGATTGGGATCTCCAGGCTATAGTGAGTGGCAGGACACGTGCGCAGGTCTGAGAACAACCAATGCAGCAAGGCCCGAAAGGGAAGAAACAACTGAGTGATCCACAACGCGAGGCCCGTGAAGCGCTCCAGCTGCTTGCTAGAACAATGACGATGGTTGAGAAGTTCCTCTATCTGGGCAATGAGTTTGCTTTGTTTTTCAGGGTGAAGACTGACAAGACCATTGAAGAAATTGAATCGCCATCCGATCCAATCAACCATGGGACCAAGTGTACACTTTCTCCAACTGAGAGGTATACGGAACACTCGACAGAAGAGTGCAAGCAGAGTTGCAAACAAAGGAAGGATGGACTTTGGTTGGGCCAGCAGAAAATCGTCAACAAATAGCCATACGCCATGTTGGACCCAAATCAGGCGACGCCATACTCGGACAAGCCATGCTCCGAGTCTGCCCCACCAAAAGGCACTAAAGGTAGCTCCAAAGGGACAAACCCTATAGAAGAAAATTCGACCTTGGAAGGTGAATCCAACTAATCCTTGATGGCGTTCGGAGAGGGCGATCCTCTTATGAGCTGATTTAATGTCGAAAGTGGCCGCATGCTGAGGCTCCGAACACTGTCGAAGAGGAAAACTTTCAACAACGTCGCGAGCTGACGGGTAGCACTGGCGTTCTGGGATGATGCAATTCTGATTAGTGTTACATACACTGCTGTCGAGTACCAATCGGGGAGGCCGTGAATCAGAAAATGCAATGCCCAATTTACCCAGGGCAACACCTTGGGGGTATGCTTGTTGGGCATCAGTTTCATCTCCATCAAACTCAAAAACCCATCCTTGATCGATCTCATTTTGGATGAGTTCACGTGTGAGATCGGGGTGATCTTCGCTAGATTTCCAATTACCTCGATGAATTTGCAAAGCGGGAGGTTCTGTATCAGAACTAGAATCTCGTTCCCAAAACACCTGACTGGCATGTATCGGGTCATCCGAGGTGCCGGCTGACACTCCTGCAATTAAGCAAGAAAAGACCTGAGAATCGGGGTCATGAACGTGCTGGCTCAAATGTTGGAGAGCGTTCAAGCACATAGGTTGGTGAGGTCGGACCGACCAATCAGTGGGAATCCATGAAGAAAATGTTTCACGAAACTTTTCAATGCAGTCTTCCGAGAACGGGGGATCAGGTTTTTGCTGCTCCATGTGTGCAACAAATTCTTTGCGCAAATTCCGTTCAAGGATAAGCGCAATCCAGCTGTCACGAAGGGGTTTTAGAGCATCCGTGACATTAGGGGGAAAACTCCAGTCCGGTTGGCTACCTCGTCCACCACCGTCATGCAATGCGTGTGGCGGATCGTGAAGGGGTTTGACAGGAATCAAACCGAGTGCATGCTCGAGAGTCAAATGTGGTATTCTGGGGCCGATGTGGGCATTCAATTTGTGGGACAACAGAATAGCCAAGTCTTTGGGATATTCGGCAGTTTTGCGGCTGAGGTATGCGCCCGACTGATCTTGAATACCTGCATACGGAGCATGATTCGAATGAGTACACTGACTGGCATGTTCCACAAACCAATCATGACTGCATGCAAACATCCAGTGCTTTGAAATGTTCAAAGAAAACTGACACGCTGCCAAAACTACACAATGACAGGCTTGCTGATTTACCCAGGATTTGACTACTGGGTCATACCAAGTAAACGCGTTGGGGGGGGGATTCAAGGTGGCCGTGGCCCCCCGCAGCAAAAGTGTGCTGTAAGCAACACACGGCACGATGCAAGAGTTCGCGGCTGCTGTTGATCCGGTCTTGCTCGGAGGGTGTGGGATTGGGAATGCCTAATGGAAATTCATGCGTTCGTACCGGGGTGGGTCCCGGAGTTCGAAGCTTCAGGAGTGAAAATTCACTGCATGGAGGACTCGCTCCACAGTAGGCCACAATGCCCGAAGCACATAAACGCAACAGTTTTCTCAAAATATGTGTCATTGAGAAGGTCCATTTCAGGTGAAATCAACAGGTCAATTGCTAATGTAGCGTGACCCATTTGGTCAAGAGCGGTGCTGAGCGGAGCGCTGGGGTGCAAATGTCCAATCAAGTCATCCTCTGACTCTAGCGAAACATGTATTGAATTCCTGCTCTTCAGCCAAGGCGCCGTCCACATGCATATTCCCACACGCCTTCGAGAATTCGCCCACACAAAGCCAATGCGCTGACCATGTAAGGCCCTTTGTTGAGGCCGCCCTGGAAGGTTTCGCCGAATTGTGTCCTTTTGCTCACATCAAAGCAACCCAGCCGATATTGATGAAAGACTTCCTTGCCCTCTGCATTGACACTCCAAAGAGCGCCAGGCGTCTTCTCTGTCAATGGGGCCTTGGGACCCAGTGTTTTCAAGATGGCCGTGAAGATGCGCTCCAGTATGGGCGCGACGCAAATCTTCTCAAAGGCTTGCCACTTCGGCGGCCAGGCTCTCGAGCTGCACCAAAAGAGAACAAACACCTTTGAGCCAGCCCGATTCGATTCCTGTGCTCGCTGGCAACCCACCACTGCTGGTAGACGGATTGTTGCTGCAGAAGCACGATCGTCACATTCGTCCTTTCTAGCGGGTTGCAAGCATCGGCACGCAGCTCTCCTTCTGCCGCCTCCCTCTTGCTTTTGCGGTCAAAAACAGTCTCCCAAGGCACAGCACCGCCGTGCGCGCTATCTAGAAATCGAGCAAGGTTCAAATGAGTTGTCTGGTTCCATGTAGAGCTCACGGGCCATGAGGGGCAAAGCAATGGCCCGCCTTCACCAGCAACAATGGCGCCGTAGCCATCAGTCAGCTTTAGTTTGTCCACTGCTGCGCAATGGGTCATTGCCTCGAAAATGTGAAACTTATCCCACCTGTGCCCAGGAGCCGAGTCAGAATGCTGGGACAACACGCGTCCAAGGCAGTCAACAATGGCATCCAATGCTGGACTCTTGCCACTTCCTGGCTGCGCTGTCCCCACTGCCCAATACCTGCTCCTGCATTTCCAGCCTGCAAGGTCAACAGAAATATCTTTGTGTAGCAAGCCGGTGCACACAGCTAGGAAGGCGTCTAAATAGAACACCGTAGGCATACCTGTCGTTCTGCTCCATGCCTCCATCAAGACTGCCAGCGGGAAAAACGTCGATCTCCTCAGCCGTCAAGGCGTCAAATTCGTAGGCCGCAACCAAGCGACAAAGCTGCTCCCTCATCTCTGCCGGAGACATCGCCTCTAGCTCCTTGCTGTAAAGCGGTAAGCCCGCCAGAAAGGTGGCAGCGTCGCGACCTTCTTCGAACGTGAGGAGGAGCTGCGCCACTGCAGCCTCAAACTCACAAGTTCCATCCCCATCTCCACCAAAGGCTGGACTTCTTTCCTTGTCTTCTCTGCAGTCACGCGCAGCCTTGCTGCTAAGCTCCCCCTGACTGAATGAAGCGTCCCCGTTTGCGCTGGCCACTTCGCCCTCTGTCTGTAAAGATGGCGCATCTCCCTCCACGGCCCCAGGTTCTGCGCAGCGCCTTTGTTGTTGAGCTGCCGCAACATCACTCTCCAAAGCCAACCGTTCGAAGTGCGAACGAGCACCTTTGACTAAGACGACAGCCATTGGGCCTGGCTGTTGCGCCGTGCAAGCAGACAAGACAAATCTGCCACTATGGTTCCGCTTGACAACAGCCAAGCCACGCCCCCAATGCTGCGCCACAGCAACCAACTCATCAGCGCTGAAGTAATACCCAGCCTCTTGTACTGCAGCTATATAGGCAGGCAACACCTGTTCTGCAAAGTAGGCAGGCGGCTCCACTGCGCAGCTCCCACATGCCGCGCGCTGCAACAAGGTATCGGCCAATTCTTGACACAGCTCCACCTCGTGGCCTTCCCGCAACACTTGCACGGCGGCCTCTGTTTTTTGATTCAAGAAAACGGCCTTCCGAAGCGCATCATACCTGGGATGTGGATGGTGAACGGCTTGCCACTTTGTTTCGGGCTCGCCGGCGGTGGTGGGGCGCTCCAAGCCTGAACCCTTCACAATCTGCCCAGCAACCCTACTTTCATAGCACGCTGCCTCCCTGTCATCCACTCCGAAACCCAGTCTATTGCAAAGAGCTTCAGTGCCCACACCCTCAAAGAAAAAGCGACGGCACAGCTCATTCAGCTTTGACTGCAATGCATCTGTGGCGGGTCTTCTGTCTGCGGCCCTCTGCACTTGCTCCGCAATCTGATCGGGCATCGTTGGGCAGACCCTCCGGACATGCTTCCAGAATATCTTGCTCTCTGCGGTGGAAGGCACATCTTCCCCAAAGTTTGGCACAGCTAGTTCGTACCACAATGCAGTTTGCACGGCTTGGTACTGCTCCGCTGCTTCGGACAGAACAACCTGCTCCAGGCCGGCTGCGACCAGTTTCCGTCCGTCACGCTCTTGCCATTCCAACTGTCCCTGCCCATTGTGTGCACCAAATACCGCGTGGAGTCCGCACGCTCCATCACCAGCGGTGTTTGCTGAAATACACGATTGATTGTTCCAGCTTTCCAAGCCCAAGGTCGCAGCCTCAGCCTCTGTCATTGCGAGCACCCCTACCTCCGGCGCAAAGCCGTCCTGTGCTTCAAAGACTGCCACATCTGCTGGGCGCGGCCACTCTTTGGCAGGCCCACTGGGTTGAGGAGGCACTAAGCGCACCCACGTTCGACAACCTGCAGGGTGGGGGTATGGTCGTGGAGTGTTGTATGGCTCCACATGGTCAAGTACCCAAGCGTACAGCTTAGAGTACTGCTGCACCAAATTCCTGTCGTAGATTTGGTGTTTGCTGTGGTTCTCCTGAAGCCACAAGAAATTTTCAGGCGAACCCCAGCAAGTCCACTCGCCACGGTCATTTTTGGCGCCAACCTGCAAGCAATCCACGACGGTCGCCTCGCCCACTAAGGTGCCCGTCCCGGCTGCTGCAATGCACACACGCTCACGCTTTTTGCATGAGGTCCCACGGATTTCCCAACGCTTTCGGCCATGGAGAATTTTTTCGCACCACTCCGGGTGAATAAGCAATGCACATTGAGGTCCTAGCAGGGTTTAGTTTCGGCCCCCTACCACCGCAACGCACCACTCTGCATCCTCCCTCCGCCCTCAGCCCCTCCAGTCTCCTGACTCACCATCGCGTCCAAAAGCGTTCTCCTTCGGTGTGCCCTTCCCCCTTGCCACATCACCAGCTACTCGTCCTCCATTGCCTGCCCCGCCAAGTGCATCCGAAGAGCGGCGAAAGCCTCCAACGTTGCTAGAACTTACAGACTTTGACGTCTTGTGATCTGCTCACACGGGTAAACATGAAACAACCTGAGGCCCAAGCGTTGCAACACCTGCTCGCTGTACTCTTCGGCATGATCTCCCGGTGGGCCTGCGAGCAGCCGCGACATGCGCATCAGCGATTCCTGACCAGTCTGAGCTATTATACCCACCCTATATGTGTCCACCTTTGTGCGTGATGTAAAATGATGTAACCCGCTTCTTGTGGTGGCCAGCCTTGCCTGCGTCATCAACCTTGCAAAGTTCCTCAAAGATCAGAAACACCCGTACAGGCCCGAACAAGAGCTGGACCACCCTCGCCGACTGACGCCACCAGGCGTCACCCGCTTCCGCTGACCACATCTGGGAATAGTGTCTTTCCTGCACAGCTCGCGCCCTCATCGCATCCAGCACGCCTTTGTCCTGCTCATTGCGCCATTGCCACGCGCGACCAAACGAGCCATTGCCATCAACCCCCTCTCCGTAGAATGGCGCCGGTGGAAAATGCGAGGCTTCCAAGGATCTGCAAAAGTACAGGTCCCAAGTGAGCCGCGGCACAGTTCTCTGCGTAAACCGAGGGGGCAGGACGCGCCCATTCAATGCCCGCCGGAGTTGCCCCAAGATTTGCTTTCGGAGCAGTGCATAGCGTTCCTCTAAATTTCCCAGTGCTGCTATCAAACATCCACAGGTTGCCCGGATGGCACACAATTCTGCAAAGGGTATCGGGCACGAGCTCTCCACACAAGAAATCACTCCAGCCAGCTCTGCGCCCTTTGTCGCACCACCTAAGCAATCAGAGGGCATCACTTCCAAGCCTGCAGGGGCTTGCTGAATCCGAAAGGTTGCCCAATCCCGCGCGAAGCGCTCCAGCAGTGCCACTGACACGTCCCACCGGACGTGTCGCTTGCGCCCTGTCCAAAATGCCGCACTCCCGTCCACGAAAACCTCCGCCGCGAAGAAATGCTCGCGCTTCGGACAATGCAGAATATACTTTCCACGGCCCCATCGCGGGTGGAACTCTGCAACTAAATGCTTCCTTGCAAGGTATCAGGGTAAACAGCGCAAACTTCCAATCTCGTGGCCTGATGGTGGGAAAGCCTCTGTCTTTTTCCAGCATCTACTTTCACGGCAATCAATGCGTGTATATATGTATTTATATATATCCCTGGTATCACGCGCGCCTACTTGCACGCAAACTGCCAAATCAAGCCCAAGCACTGCCACGGCTGCAAGAACGCATTCCCATCCTCCACCGCCCAGAAGGGGCCCGATCTGGCGTATGGCACCTTGAAGCCTAGTGCGCGCAGCGCGTCCACCAGGCAGACATTCACGCACCTCACCGACTCAGCCTCACGGGCTTTCAACCTCAGCAATCCGAGGCGCACGGCCCAACTCACGGCGCGTGTGCAATCTCAGGGCTCGCAACCTCTCGGGGCCCTGGCTCTCGCAGATGGTCTTTGCGCTGCCGCAAGCTCAAGCCCCAACGTCGAACATTGCCTCATTGGAGGCATGCGGCAGTCGACTCAGTTCTACACCCGTCCTCCTACACACACACACACACACAACAACGACGATAACGTCTTGTCTTGAATCATCTCAAGCGTACTGCAGCGCAAGGCGCACCAATCTGTCTCCAATACCAGCCCGGTACTGTTCATAGGCTGGCCGTTCTGGCTCGCAGGGCGCTGTGCCACTGCCGGCGCGGCATCATCGCACCTGAGCGCACGTCCAGCAAGGCCGTCCCAGCATGTTGTCCATTACAGGCTGGGGCCACGGCGTCTCCCTCTCCCGGCGATTCTCTGCCACCTCGACTCGCAACTTCCCCTCCGGCTTCTTCCTGCACACAGCCAACACGGTGCCGACATGCATCGGTAAGCGCATTTCGCTAGGCCGCAAGCGACTTTCCTACAACTGTCAGCTGCGCCTGGAGCCAGGCTTCTGCCCTGTGAGCACTGCGTCGCCACGGCCCTCCCACTGCTCAACGAAGGCACTCAACACGGCATCGAAGTATGCCGTATACGCCTTCTTCCTGTAACGAATCCATGGGTGCGTGTACGCTTTCGCATGTGCCCACACCCTGTCCCAATACTTCTGCTCCCTCTCCCGCTTCTGTTGCCGCTTCGAGCGGCCAGTCATAGCAGCAGCGCCTGCAACTGCAACTGCATTCAGGTTAAACTCACCATGTCTCATTCAACAATATCTTCTAGTCATGCCACTGCGGGCAACTATTACAGTCTCTAGGTAATGTGCGACCAAAAGGCTTTGCACTGGTGCCAATGTAGGCATACCAAGCCCTCAGTCGGCACGAGGTTGAAACTAATCCTTGCATGTTGTGATCTCAAATCCATGGGTGCGTGTACGCTTTCGCATGTATACCCACGCCCTGGCCCAATACTTCTCCTCCCTCTCCCGCTTCCGTTGTTGCTTCGAGCGGCCAGTCATAGCAGCAGCAGCACCTGCAACTGAATTCAGGTTAAACTCACCATGTCTCAGTCGACAATATCTTCTATGTCACGCCGCTGCGGGTAACAACGGTGTGCAGGTAATTCAATGTGCGACCAAAAGGCATTGCGCTGGTTCCAATGTAGGCATACCAAGCCCTCAGTCGGCACGGGGTTGCCCCTATCCGAGCACGTTGTGGTCTCAAAATCCCTCTAAATCACTTCCAAGGTTCAACCGTGGCACACGCACTTTTCATCCACTCCCACTTCTGCCCAGCGAGTGCCATGAGCAAATTGCGCCGTTGCAGCTAGAACAATCCCGAGTAAGAGAAATCCGCTTGCAGCCGTCTGACCCACTGCGTGTGGCGGAGAATGGTTTTCCATTTTAGCCCGGCTCCCTACGTTCCTCGCTGCTTTCCCGCCATGAAACTCCTTCTAACTTCTAACTCCGAATACTGGGTGTGTGCTTCCATGCCTTCTCCCGATGTAAGCAAGGCTCAGACACCTTCATGTGTACCTATAGCGGTCTCCACACCCAGCCTCGTGCGTTCCAAGTACCAACACTACCTTCCCAATCAAGGGTTGCGGCCTGTCATGCTAGGTAGGCGGCGCGACGCGGCGCCAAGTTCTCTGTTAGCTGTTTCGAGTTGCAAGCCTCCTCCTCGACAAGGTTACCGAGCTGGTAGATTTGGGG